CCCCCCCCAACCTCGGCTGAGTAGCAGTGGGCTATTCCCTGCTGCCACTTGCCCAGCCAGGGCAGGGGGATGGGGCATGGGATGGGGGTGCGACAGCGCTGGGAGCGGGGAGTATGCCCTGCTGCCACTTGCCCAGCTGCAGCAGGGTGGCATAATGCAGGTGTAGCTTGCTCCATGCAAAAGGGGGCAAGCAACAGCAGGGCCTAGCCCCTGCTCCCAGTGCTGCTATACCTGCAGCCTACCCTCCCCTCCACCCCGGTTGGGCAGCTTGTCCCAGGCCCATCCCTAATCTCTCCCACACCTCTTCACTGCCCACCACAACAGACTTACCAGCTGGAGGCAGCTGTGTCCACTGTGGTGAGGACTGTTGCCTCTTTAGTCTATGGCTGAATCTCCGAAGTGGAGGCAAATCTTCAGATCCGATTCAGCAGAATCGAATTGGGACAGTGATTCAAATCTCTGAACTGAATCATTGTCTCTCCGAATCAGCTGAATCCGAATCCAAAGCAAATACTTTTCACTTTGCACAGGCCTATCAGTCATCTCATCACAGAAGGCAATCAGGATGGTTAGACATGACTTGCCCTTGGTGAATCCATGCTGCCTTTTCCTAATCACCTTCTTCTCCTCCAAATGCTTAGAAATGGATTTCTTGAGGATCTGCTCTGTGATTTTTCCAGGTACTGAGGTGAGGCTGACCAATCCATAGTTCCCCAGATCCTCCTTCTTCCCTGTCTTAAAGATGGGCATTATATATTTGCCCTTTTCCAATCATCTGGGACATCTCCCAATCTGCTGTATTTTCTCTGAGACTAAGAAAATTCTAATGTTTTGGAGGAGTCTGGCTGGCTTTCAGGTATTACTTTTTTAGGGCTGAGAACACGACAAACAAAGAGAGAGCATTAATTATATTATGAAAAGTATAGAAGATGAAAAAGTCTTCTTTCCCTGTCTTCCTAATACTAACCTAAAACATTAAGATATATAAAATATTTTAAATAAAATATTCGTGTAAACCAAGAGGGTAATTTTTTATAACAACATTAGCTCATAGACAAACAGGACAGGAATGGACAGAGCTAATATTACAAAATCTACCACAAACTTGTGTTTGAGGAATAAGCATATTCCCTTAAGTATTAGTTTGAAAAGGTGCCCAAGTTGCACATGTAACTCCTAACTTTACATCTCTGGTTGCAGTCTCATGGAATTAGTATTTTATTAGATAAATATTTACCTAACTGTAAGTAACTCATACAATACCATCATAAATTGATATTACTGTCTGTGTCTTAAATTCTGGTACACAACTGCCTTTCCCACACAGAACTCCACTGAATTAGTGATATGACTTGAAGTAAATAGGGTTCCATGCAAAGGAAAGAATTTGCAGGATGAGGGCCTAAGATTTAGGAGGCATATTACCTGTACTCTATTGCATTAGATCAGCGGTTCTCACCCTTTTAGACTCAAGGCACCCCTTGGAAAATGTCAGCTCATAGCTATCACTCATGTTTTTTTGATTGCAGAAAAATAATAGCGCAAGTCTTCTGTTGCAAAGAACTTAGAAACAACATAATGGATCACAACATACTTGACACTATGGATTCCTATTGAGGTTTCTGGGTTTATTTTGTGAATTGTGTGTAGGTGTTCGCAAACCTAACCCTACAAATATTGCTTGGCACACCATGGCATCCTTAAAAGGATTTGATGGCATTCCAGGGTGCTACGGTACTCTGGTTGAGAATCACTGCATAAAACCATTATACCATAATTTCCACCTAGTCATTTGAACATGTATTTCTGAAATAAGATGGCAAATTTATGATACATACAATGGCATCCTATAGACAGGATTCCTTTGCTATACAAAAAAATTAAGCTATCACATATCCTTTGATGCACTGCAGAACATTTTTATATAACACAAAGTTTGTAACCAAACTGTTAGTTTGATAGTCTTGAACTATCACATTCGAGGGAAAAGTATGAAGACAGTAAGACATGTTTAATTAGCTGTTATTCGAGCCATGCCAGCCTACCTTGTTTTTTGGATTGGATGTGTTCATTACACTTCGTGTCTCCTTCCCAGTGTAAATGACAACACCAATTACTGTTCCTAGAAAAATGAAAATGGTTGAAATGAAAGCAAATACACTGCTAAAGAGTAAAATTAACCATTACAAACTTACAATCCTATAAACAAAGACACTTTTTAAGCAAAAATGTTATATAAACCAAAGTCCTTTTAAAGTACACATAGAAGGTAGGACAGGGTGGTACCTTAGACCCCTAGCACACGTTACACATAAGATATGATTAACCAATTCATCACATCTTGTGTTCCCTCCTGGCCATGCATTAATGCAATTAATAGTGTGATAAAACAAGGAATAAACCACAAAGTAATAGACAAAAAATGTGTAATAACATGACTAGTTCCTATCACACCATTAATTGATCATGTGGCCAGGCTGGGGCTCCCACCCGTGGGTGAACCCCCCATGGCTGGGAGCCCTGTCAGGTGATCTGCTCCTGAGACTAATAGCCCCATCAGCTGAATCAGGCTCCCAGATGTAGGGATGTACCATTTGCTTCAGTGGCTGGAAACATCCAGCTGATATGGCTCCCAGCTGCACAACTGTAAGGCATGATGGGATTTGATGCTGGACAATCACACCTCCTGCTATGCATGTGTGGCATGGCAGGAAGAGTGACTGTGAGAATCCCACATCAGATCCCATCAAACCTTCACTTGCATGTCTGCCAGGGGCCTTAGAGTAAGTGAGGCATAAGCTTTTGGAAGCAACAACTGATGCCTGCATCTGACTAAGCAAGTTGTAGCCTACAAAAGCTCATACTTCTTTGAACTAGTTAGTCTCCAAGGTCTTTCTGCCTGACTTCAGACTAAGACAGCTACAGTGCAAACAATAATATCATGCATTTTTTTAAATGTTACTCCCTGTAACAACAACAAAATAAGACATCTGAACAATAATTTGTGAACTATGACACACTGCTTCTAATTTTACCTGATTATTTTTATGTAATCCACAAAAGAAAATGAGCTGGTAATAACTTTTGATTGATATCACAGAGAGTGGTAATAACCTTTCATTAACGTCCTTGAAAATAACAATACCCTTTAAACTGATGCTAATGGATGTAACAACCTACTTTAACATTTAATGGTTAAAAAACTATGTTTGAACTTAAAATCTACACAGCAAAATATTTAAAGTTTTAGCATTAGTGGGAAATAAATTAATTAGATGTTGCTGAAAATATGCAGCACTATACTGAAAATCACAACTAGTTCTGCTGTCATTTATGAACTAGTCAAGGTATAGCTAATCTGAGCTACACAGCAGAATTTCTGCCTTGTATTGCTTAAGTCATCCATTTTTTTGAGTTTCAAGTACATTATAAAGTAAAAACCGGCTAATGGAAGGTGACAAAAACTGATTTCAGCATTGTTGTACGTATTGGTTATCACTTAAGGAAAAAGTTACAATAGTTTCATTAATACAGTTTTTACATTGTGTCTGGTCCAATACCAAACCTTTGTCTGACAAAATTCTTTGGGTAAATGTGATATATTTTATTCGACCAACTAAAAAGTCTCCCTATGCCTGAAGAAGGTGTTTGTGCCCGAAAGCTTGCAAAGAACATTTTTTCCAACTATTTAGTTGGTCTAATAAAAGATATCACATTTACCCAAAGAACCTTGTCTATGTCCTTAGACCAACATGGGTACAACCAATGAACCTTTGTAACTTTTTCAGGGTGATTGCAATTTTTGTGGCTGTTTGTTATGAAATGGATTACATTACCAGGTTTCATTTGAATCTGCCTTAACTTTTTTGAAAATTGAAAAATTTTAAAAAGGCAGAATGCTAATAATGCTCGTCTGGAAGCGCATTACACTTCTCAGCAGGAACTACTTTTGTCTCTCAAACTGCTGAAGATGATAACTATCAAAATAACTTGGTCAGGACTGTGAATAGGGATTGATATCATTATCCTAGCAACATAAAAGAGATAGAAAGAATGAAAGGATAAAGATTCAAGTATTTGGTGATTTATTGGATCTTTCTGTTGGTGACAAAGCTTTCCATCCAATGCTCAGAAAAATCTCACTTGATATTGGAGACTAGTTTAATGTTTTGGTAGATCTCCAGCCCTCTCACTCATATAGCAAAGAGATTACCTTTTGCTGAAAGCTCTCAGTATCATTGATTTTTGTACAGTGTCTGAGTTTACCAAACTTTGTGACTGCCTTCCATAGTTTTGATGTCTCTTGTATGATGGTGCTTAGGGCAAATGAGTCATTCTACCTTCTTGATACTTTTGCCCGTCATCATCATACAAAAGCATAGAGAAGGGACCTCCAGAGGTCATCTAGTTTAACCCCCTGCCTGAGGCAGGATCATCTCCCTTGTGTTGCTGTGGATATAGTTCAGCCTTTTGATGCTTAACAGGACTGAAATGGTCCCTTAGGCCTGCAAGGCCTAAAGATGACTTGGCATAAGTAGGCTAAGAGTGCATTCATGGAGTGATGCTATTGTATGACCTGTTCCCTACAGGGAAAAGGATCTAAGGCAGCTTGTTTTTCTGCACAAGTCTATGATAGAGGTTTGTTAGGAATAAAAGGGTTTGTTATGGTACATTCCACCCATATCTGAAGCAGATGGCTCCTGGTACCAAGGAGAGGGAAAAGAAACAGCAATAAAGGGGAGACAAACCAGGTGGTTGATAAAAACAAGAAAAATTGTCTAATTGGCTATGTGACTAGAGGACAACCTGAACAAAAGAAAGCTATTCCTCTTCCTTTTCCCCACCCTGACAATGCCTGAGAGCTGAAGACATCTGATCTTTCTCTTCAAGGAACCTTGCCTGTTCTGGAAGCCAACTCCCAAGTTGCATATTATTAGGACTGGTAATATACAATTACTTGCTTGCTAAGATCATATTTTGCTAAGATTACTGAAACTGCTATGATTATGTCTATATGCATGCTTGAAGTTAATACTTTGTGGTGCTCAAGAAAACTGATTTATTAAAAAGGTAACTGGGTTTTTGATTGGAGAAAACTGAAATGTGCTTTCAGGCAATATCAATCCTGCTGTTTGCTCCCTCTGCATTTTGGAGGAGAACCAGGGGGTAACATTGCTGCTTTAATATCTGGCCCCAAGGATGTTCATTTCGATACAACTGATTATGATCCTTACTTGGCTGTTTTTAGCAGCTTTGTAGACTTCTAAAGATATTGCTCACCGGAAAAATCAGGAAATTCTAGATACCTGCCACCTATCCAAGGTGCATTAGTGTTTATAGTGCCATACACTTCATTCTACACTCCATGGCAATTGAACCACAGCAAACCGAGAATTTAGTTTTGTTTCATAACATTGTCTGTTCTGAATTATTCTCAAGTGTCCGTTCAACCTTACACAATGCCTCACATCTCTGTCACCTTGATGGTGTTGGTTTATATGGAATTCTGAGAGACTCAATAAAGTTCCACAGTGCATATCTGTGAGGCTCTTAAAGGCCTTTTGGACATCATCAAAATTTGTGATGTTATTTCAAGCGCTGTTCTTTTATGGCGCTGAATGTGACTATTTGGTCTACCCAGGATTTTCTGGGCCTGAACACAGACCACTTTCTTTAAGCTTCATGTTAGCTATTTGTCTCACTGAGGAAAACCCTAGTGGCTTAAAATATTTGCTCTCTTCTTTGCATGTCTAGATCTTCATCAAAAGAAGGGTTAATTACATTTCAGTGCTCTGCTGATTACCTAGACTTGGTCTCCTATCCGTATATTACATTATGACAATTTTTAAGCATCATGCTTCATAGGTATGTCTTCAAGTCAGTTTCCATCATCTAAAATTGTCAGCTAAAAGCATTAGAATTAAAAAAAAAAGGAAAAAAGCTTCCACTTAATTTAAAAACTTCTCAATCGTATGTTTAGTTTTTATAGTAGTTATACTCTCTCTCTTCCTTGAAGCAAAATCTAGAATTTGATCAACATCCCCTTTTCATTTTTCCAATTCATTATGTTTACTTAATTTGAGAGATGCATACATCATTAATATTAGATTAATATGATGGCTGAGCAATGCCACTTGCAAACTTAAATACATTCTAAACATTTTAAGTCATCAAGTCAAGAAAAAGAAACAACAATTAATTATGGTAGGCACAATCTGTCCAGGAAGCAAAGGAAAAAATAGCCAGCAAAGCAACTTACCAGTTTTAAATTATGCTAAGCACAGGTCAATATTACAATGAAAATAGCCCAGAATGAAAGGGCCCAAAAGTTACATGATTGTGACCTCCAACACTAATGGAGAAAACATTTCTTACATATTCTTTTACAGGGTAGCATTAATAATTTAGAAAGGAAGAAATTAATGCTGAGATACATACTACAATGCATAAAGTGAAAATAAGATTTTATCCATCCAGAAAACAATCCATTTTGCACACAATAATGTTCCCCATAAAAAGTTGGTTACAATTATGTAGTACACAAAACTTTCATCCTGTAGGACCCTGAGGCACTTCAGAAGCTTACACACAAAAAATACTCTGCTCTAATTCTTGCAATTTGGAGGTAGTCTTCCTCCTCAATTCCCATCAGCTCATTCTCCAGAGAACGCTCATGAACCAGTCCTTTCCTTCCTCTAGTTTTATGTTTTTAAATCTATTTCCCCCAAGTCCTAGCTGTACAGCAACTGTGTTGAGGAGCATAAATACATTTTTAACTACTACTATTTTAGTCACTAAAACAAGCTCATGCAACCCTGAATACTCATGGGAGTAGAGCCATCAAAGCCATCAAATCTCTCTTTCCAACATGCCTACCTCATGTCTACTACCCTTTTACAGTATAAGTTTTTCAAGAGAAGGGCAGGCCTTACTTTTGGTTGTACCTCAACAGGCAATATGTAGTACTTGAAACAACTTGACAAAAAATCATGAAACATCAGATATGTATGTGCACGAACTAGATAAATACTGAACTTTTAAAGTTTACCACCATATGTCAATTTATTTCTGACCTACAGAGACTCAACAGGTTCTTGAAATTATGGATCTGCTAAGGAAAAG